CATTCTCCTCGACATCAAAGATACTGCCTTTTCGCTGGATATCCCTGCATGGTAGCGTTCTCTCCTTTGTCCAGAATGATTGTTGCCAATGTTGCGCAGGTTGTCTTCTCTCGATTCCAACGGGAAATGGCCGGTCAATGAAGTGGACTACACGACTGGTTGTGAGGCCCGTCGTGCCAACTGGCCAGCCCAAATTCACTGGCTGCGTATTCGTATGTTTTTGAAAATCTATTAACTTGGTAGGATTTGTCTTAATTTTCGCTGCAGTTAACATGGCAAATGCGTGGTATGGTGGCATCGACGGCAACGATGAGTACTTCCACGACGTGAACTTGCGAGCTGCCATATCACGGGCCATGGATTACTGGTTCAGTCGCGATTTCACCAATCCCGCATGTTTGGGAAGAGGCGGAAGGGCCGAATGTCCTTGCGACAATCCGGACAATACTCTTTGGTGGGTCACTCGGGGTTGCTTTCTCTTCCAGATTTTTTATGTGTTCTCTGAAGGAATACAAACTGGTTCTCCAACGTATGCCAATCGGTTCTGGTTGTTTTCTATGGCTAACCACTGTACTGTGTTCGGCAGACCATTCTCATCCCAGAACTTTCAATCCAGACTTGCCTCCTTCTCAACGACACTCTCAGCGTTGAACACCTCGATAATTGCACGCGTATCAGCTTGCGAGCGTACGACACGTTTGAACACGGAGTTAGCGGTCTATTCCAGCTGTCAGGTGCAAACATTCTGGACGTTGGAAGAATAGGGATCGACCAAGGTCTTTTGACCCAGAACGTTTCGTTACTTGACGATGCCTATCGACGAGCGCATTTGGAGCTACAGATTAAGAACGAAATCAAGTCCGATGGCATCAGAGCGGATGGATCTTTCGGTATGTGCGCTCTAATATCCTCCAAAGGCTTGTGTCCGAAATGCAATGATCTATGTAGGCCAACACAGCGGAATGCTCTATAATGGCAATTACGGTGAGCTCCATGTCCTGAAGCTAGTTCCTCCATTACTTACACGCGTTTTTAGGCAAAGACTAGTACGTTCCGTAGTTTGTGACCTTCAGCACATGCTCAGATAATAGCAGTGTCAATGCTTTCCTTGACATCGAGATTGTCGCTGCTGGCACACGTTTCGAGGCAGAAAGTGATTCTCAAGATGCCTTCTCCACCCTGTTTGAAGGTAACAAATGGATGATCTTTCGCAATGCAGTTACGAGTGTCCTTCATTGGGATTTTGTGAGTTGCATGAATACTTTCTCAGAACGTGCTCGAGTCTCATTTCCGCAGTCCGCTCTAGGCCGATTCCTGACCTTCCCTGTCATCGATGACCAGTAAGAGCATTATCCATCGTATCCGCGAAGCAACTTTTTCATCATTTGCCACAGAGCAACTGGCAGGATTAAAATTGACCTCGGAGAAGTTCTGACGTTAGGCGAGGAATGGTCTTCCAAGACATTGATCGATTTCGCAAACGACCTTTCTGTGAATTCAACCAACGCTAATGCGGGCAGCCTGACGGGAAATCGCATGTTTTATGCCAATGATTACATGGTGCAGAATATCTGGCGATGCAGTCGACATATTGGCTTACACGCTTTCCAGGTCCATCGTGGTCAGAACTACGTCACAACATTGAAGATGTACTCTAATCGAACTCTGAATTCAGAGTGCGTAAATGCGCAGAATGTGTGTATACTGCTTCCTTCTTTCATACACTTTTTCAATCTGACGGAAAACCGCAGCCAAAGGGGTTCCACCTATCAGATGGCGCCTTGTATACATACCTCCAAGGAAACGAATACGAAGACATCGCCGCGGCTTGGGATTGGGATCTTATCCCAGGAATCACTGTCGACTACCAGGCCACCCCCCTGGATTGTGCGACCACCCTAAAGACCGGGATGGAGAGCTTCGTGGGAGGAGTTTCTGACGGCACCGTGGGCATTGGCGCCATGCGATATACAACACCGTCGTCACAAACCCTTCATTTCCAGAAGGCCTGGTTCTTCCTCGAGGACGACGTCCAACATATCGCCGTATCACAATTGTCCTCCACCACGAGCGCACCTGTCTTTTCTGTGCTCGACCAAAAGCGCTTCGCGGGTTCGCTCATGGTCGACGGGGCGTCGACTATCAAATCAACACCCTCAGCGACCGCAGTGAAAACGCTTTGGCACGGCAACGTCGGGTATACCTTCGACGAGTTAGCGAGGGTGTCATTCGAAGTTGGCGAGAAAACGGGGAATTGGTCTGCCATCGGGATTTCCGCACAACCACCTGCAACCGTCGATCTGTTCTCTGCACGGATAGAGCACGGCGCTTCGCTGTCTCCCACGTCGTACACCGCATTCCCTTGGACAACTCACGATGCTTTCATCCAGAAATCCGATCGATTACGCCTGCAGGAGATACGAAACGACATAAATATTTCAGCCGTTTACGACGGGACCCACAGAACCGCTATGGTCGTTTTCTGGAGCGCAGAGGGGGGATCCGTGGTGATAAAAGCTGATTTGAAGTCGGCACCCGTCAAAGTGACTTCTGATGGCAACGCCGCAGTGATATACAGGCTTGATTCGGGCCAGACCACTGTGGCAGATCCTACACAATCCTTGACCAAAGTGCAGCTCTCCTTTGATCTAGGAATAGGAAGAAAGCCACCGCATTGGGGCGTCGGGCGCACAAAAAAATTGGTCTTCGAACTTCCTACAGGCGGAATTGCAGGGAAAAGCGTAACACAGACCCTAGATTAGCTGAGTGTATGAGTCTTTCCTTACTACATGATTTCGTCTCGTTGATCTAGCACTCTTTTCTTGTAGAGCTCTTGTTCCATAAATAATACTAGCTGTTCACCCGAGCACGATGCTCAGAGTCACATGGGTGGAAATCCTCCTTCGCTAGAGCTTCGATGTCACCAAAGGGTCCTTCAAGAACGACGTCCTAGTAAGGGTGCAGCCGATTCTCTAGCGCCTTCGCTCTCACCCGCCTCACAAAAATGGTCAGATGCGACAGTGTAGCACGACGAACCAACCTTCTCAGGTAATTTGACGGCATGAATTCTTCACGGTTAGTTATCGGCTCAAGCTTCCAATTCCCCGCACCAAACGCTATATGTACCTCCCCGATGGACATGGCCCAGAGGTTTGCGCGGCCTGTTTCCCTCCCCAACTGCCCATGATGACGACGCGCTTCCTCTTTTCTGTCCTTGCTCTTTTCGAAACTGGTGCTCTTTTGGGCCCACTCTCTTGCTCTGGAATGAACTCCTCTGTTAATGGTTCCCTCGCCGTTCCTCTGATAACATCGGACTTGGTGTCTAGCCATGTGTTAACTGCGTCATCCACTGGCAGTTCACTCTTAACAGCGGAACCTACTGCGACAGCAAACTTGACAACGAGTGGCCTGTCTGCAGTCAGTTCCGTTGCCACAGCCACGAACAGTCCAACGTCCTCCGACACCACGACCGCTCCTGATCCCCAACCTACTAAAACAATCGATCTGACCCTCCTTGAAGAAATATGGGTTCTTCAATCGCGCCGACTGAGCTCTATCGTAGGTGCCATTGGTTCGCCAAATAGTATTCCCGCATGGTGAACTACCTTCCTCTGGTCTCTTTTTCAGAGGTTTATGGCTGATGTGCTGTTAGGCTCTCTTCTCTTGATTCACGAGGAAAATGGCCAGACAACGAAGTAGATTACACCACAGGATGTGAGGCACGTCGTGCGAACTGGCCTGCGCAAGAACACTGGCAACGCATTCGTGAGTATTTCCCCCTGCAAGTTGTGTCTTTCAATCCGTCTGAGTTCCTACCTTCAGTCAGAATGGCGGGTGCCTGGCACGGCGGAGTCCTAGGAGGAGATCAGTTTGTCAAAGACCCCAACTTGCGAGCCGCCATATCACGCGCCATGGATTATTGGTTCGGTCGTGACTTCGCGAATAATCCATCATGCTTGGATTCAGGTGGCACCACCGCTTGCCCTTGCGACAATCCTGACAACAGTTTATGGTATGCCCTGCATCTGGGGTTAAACGCTCGTTGCTTTTAATGTTCTCGTTGTAGGAATACGAATTGGTACTCCAACGTGAGCATTTTATATCTTGCTGCACAGGCCAAGTCATCGACCCCCGAGCAGATCATCCTCATTCCGTCGCTCTTGGGTCAAGCATGCCTGCTTCTGAATGAGACACTTGCCCAAGGGCAACTCAGTAACTGCACTCGCATGACGCTACGCTCTTACGGTGCCTTTGATCGTTTCGTGAACGGCCTAGGTACTTTGACCGGAGCCAATACGCTCGATGTCGCACGAATCGGAATCGACCAGGCTCTCTTAAGTTACAACGTATCACTCCTCACCGACGCCTATCGCCGAGTGCACCTTGAGGTGCAGATCAAGAATGGCATCAAGGTCGATGGTGTCAGAGCTGACGGGTCATTTGGTATGAGCAACGACTACGAGGCATGCATTATCTTTGCTGACAAATTCAGGCCAACATGCCGGAATCCTATATAATGGGAATTATGGTTAGCCTTCACGATTCATCCGTCCGTTTTCCGTCGCTAATGATGCTATCTAGGAAAGGACTAGTATGTATTTACACCGTCCGAAACCTTGCCGTACTTACGCGAGGAATAGCACCAATGAAGTCCTGGACCTTGAAGGAGAGGCAGGCGGAACGAGATTTGCAGCGAGAGCAGAGTCAAGAAACGCTTTAGCTACCTTATTCGACGGCCATAGGTGGATGATCTACCACAATATCCTTACGGGCCTTCTTCATTGGGATTTCGTCAGTTGATTTGCAAGCTTGTATTCCAACTAAAGCATCTCATTCAATTCCCAGTCAGCTCTTGGACGATTCATCAGTTTTCCTGTGATCGATGCTCAGTGAGCATTCACTTTCCTATTGTCTATTACTGCTCATATCTATTACCGCCCATAGAGCATCAGGAAGTATAAAGATAAATCTCACACAGGTTTTGGTGTTGGGCGAGCAATGGTCTTCCGGCACCTTAATCGACTTTGCCAACGATCTTTCCATCGACACCACCAGCGCAAATGCTGGGCAGTTGGAGGGTAATCGCATGTTCTATACCAATGATTATATGGTAAGTTCGCCGGTTCATGGCGGCTTCACTTTCTTCTTGATTTACGGCGTCTCGTTGCCAATGACAGGTTCATCGAGGAAGAAATTACGTCTCAACTTTGAAGATGTATTCAACGAGAACTCAGAGTACAGAATGCGTCAATTCTCAGAATGTTGGTCTCTTAAATCTGCCCATAGTCTTCAGGCAGGGGACTGACGAAGAGACTAGCCCAAAGGATTCCATCTTTCGGACGGCGTTCTCCACACATACCTCCGAGGCAACGAGTATGAAGACATCGCAGCTGCGTGGGATTGGAATCTTATCCCAGGAATTACAGTCGACTATAACTCGACGCCGCTGGTTTGCGCAACCACGCAGCAAACCGGATTGGAAAGCTTCGTGGGCGGTGTTTCTGACGGCGAGATTGGCATCGGCGCAATGAGATACACCACTCCGCTCACAAAGACGCTTCATTGGCAGAAGGCCTGGTTCTTCCTCGAGGACGATGTCCAGCATGTTATGGTTTCAGCACTCGCCTCAACCACCAATGCCTCCGTCTTTTCCGTGCTTGATCAGCGACGTTACGCGGGTTCCTTGATTGTGAACGGTGTAGCCAAGCATGACCCCACGATGAGAAAAGCTTCGATCCAGACACTTTGGCACGGAGATGTTGGCTATCTCTTTGATCAGTCGCTCAGCATTTCCTTTGAAGTGGGCGAGAAGACAGGCGCATGGTCGGCCATTGGGACTTCCACACAACCTCCCGCCACCGTCGATCTATTTGCCGCCTGGATAGAACACGACTCGGCTTTATCGCCGATAGCGTACACGGTATTTCCTGGAGCAACGCACAGCGCGTTTGTCCAGAAGGCCAGTCGACCCAGCATCCAGAACATACGAAACGACACAAATGTCTCTGCCATCTACGACCAAGTGCATAGAACCATCATGGTGGTTTTCTGGAACACGCAGGGAGGCTCAGCAACAGTCATACCCGATATAACTTCAGCACCTATCAGGGTGACATCAAATGGCAATGTTGGTGTCATATACAGGGTTGCGTCAGGACAGGTCACAGTTGCAGACCCCTCACAATCATTGATCTCTGTTCAGCTGTCTCTAGACCTTGGAGTAGGACGAAAACCTCCACATTGGGGAGCTGGACGGAGCAAGACGTTGGTATTTCAGTTCCCGTCAGGCGGTCTAGCAGGGAGTAGCGTTACTCAGAGAATTGATTAGTGTAGCTGGAGTTTGGACAGTACAGTTCTTGAACGCTCATGGAGGTCAGGAAGTTATCATCGTAGTGGCCAAGAGCATTGGATGGAATACACGAGAAAAGAAATCAGAATACGGGCTGCTCGACGTATGTCTCCGCCTGGTATGTCTCCTGCGCAACGTACGGCTCCTCAGCGGGAGCGGCGACAGGGACGGCCGCTGGTTCACGTTGCTCCGATGATGGCTCCGATACGATTTTGTCGACGGGAGGTTCGAGGATTTGGACGGAGTCAGGCAGAGGCTTGCGAGGTCCGAGCTGACCTTCAGGATCCCATCCCTTCATGCTGGTAGTAAGAAATGGGTCAGCTCACGGTCCCCATAAAAAGGACAATTGTTACATTTTAACCTTGATGCCAAGTACACCCTGGCGAAGGAGGACATGGCGCACGGCATAGTCGACGAAGTCGCGAGCGGGTTGACCGGAGTGGATCATAAAGCCGTCGGTGAACTTCATGGATTTGGCACGAGCCGCACGGAGTTTGCCAGAAACGATAACCTCGCAACCCTTAGCACCGGACTCCATGACGAAACGAAGGACACCGTAGCATGCGCTATGATTGAACATTAGGTATCGTAGCACTTTCAAAACGGATGATTGACACACCGACGAACGGCAAGACCACCAAGGAGCTTGTACCTCAAGCTCTCACATTGAGCGATGGCAGAGAGACCACGGTATTGAACCTTCTCTGCGTAGAGCTCCAGAGAGTTCTCGGGGAACTTGAAGCGCTTTTGGACGAGAGAAGTGAGTTCACGGATGCGACGGCCCTTTTCTCCAAGGACCTCTTGGGTATGCGTAGCACGGATGATGATCTATTTTGGACTCGATAAGAACCTCACAAATTCTGATATTATAGCAAAGAACGCACCTCAGTGCGAGCGTGTGTCACACGGACATCGCAACCAGAGTAGCCCTCCTCAGCCAGCTCGCGGGTGAAGAATTCATTGAGTTCGGCGCGGAAAACGCCATCGGCCACAAACTTTCTCTTTTTACTGATTTGGGCAGACATTTTTGGCGGTGTTCTCTGTTGGTGGCGATGGAGGACGTGAATATGTCGAGTACTAAAGAAATCGGCAAGAGGCGTACCTTGAGCTTGCTGGCGAGTGTCAAGGACGATGCCGATAGCAGGCGCGCCAAATCTGATCGGGTGGCTTGATGAGCTGCACAGTTGACTTCGCCCGTTGCCGGGCACGTGATCGCAGTTCGAATATATAAACCGCGTCCTCTGTCGCGTCATCAGACTCATCACCCCAGTTGGTGAGTAAGGTTCGTGTTTCTCTTTTTTCTTCGCTTCGATGACGAGTGTTGTAAATGTTCAACCCATTGGCACCTCTTAGTCGATTTGTGTCACCGTCTCTGTACGGCTGCCTCAATGACATCAATGACTTGCTGAGATTTTCTCTTGCGTCCGTTCGTCACGTCAAACAATCGCTGACTAGTCTCTTCCTGCAGGTGCTGCATACTTTACTTGGTTCTCTTTCCTGTATATGTAATGCGTCTATCCAATTGATTCTACACTCTCCACTTCAAATCAAGCAAGGGGCATAGTAGACAATGCAACGTTACTGGGTCAGCGGATTTGCTCGTTCACGAAGATGCCTGCAGCACCCATTCCGCTGCCAATGCACATGCTGGTGCATAGAATCTGTTGATTCTGCCGCTTAAGTTGCGCAAGACCGGTGACGACCTGTCGTACGCCAGCTATTGAAAGCATTCAACATGGGAGGATTACGATTGGAGGGCAACTTACTCATAGCAAGAGGATGCGAGATGGCGATGGCTCCGCCGCTGAACGGAAAGGAATTCATGAGTCTGTTGGATCGCAAAGCGGGACATCTACTCACTTTGGGTTGATCTTCTCCATGGGGACGCCGAGTTGTTCAACGCAGTAAGCGAATTGCGATGCAAATGCTTCGTTCATCTTTGGGCCAAGGTAATGAAGAATGCCTTCGTCAACGGTTTTTGCTTACCTCATAGACGTCGACCTCCTCTTTAGTCAATCCAAGCTGTTCGAGTACCTTGGGAATAGCATAAATCGGCGAAATACCCATGTAGCGAGGTTCAACGCCTGGAACACAAATTGAAACTTATCGGTGAAGTTCACGATCGAGGTCGTTCACGTACCAACGACCGTCGAAGTGACATATTTCCCAAGGATTTCCATCCCATCTCGCTCTGCTCGTGCTCGGGTGGTCATAATACAAATTCCTGCACCGTCTCCTACGCCGCTCGCGTTCCCAGCAGTGGTGCTGGCCTCTCCCCAGTTCGGGAAGACGGGCTTGAGTTTCTCAAGGCCATCCAGAGTAACCCCTGGCCGGATGGTGTCATCAACAGAGATTATTTGACCTCGAATCTCAACAGGGATAATTTCGTCGGCGAATATTCCTTCGGAGACAGCCTGATGAAAGAAGCGCCATCAAACGCTTCATGTCCAGGATTTACGGACTGTATTCACCTTCGCAGCTCGACTGTGTGAGATGAACGCGTACTGGTCTTGTTTTTGGCGTGACACTTTGTACGTTTGAGCGACCATCTCAGAGGTCCAGCCCATTGGCTATCCTGAAATGAGATACAGTGTTGCAAATCGAACTTTAGTAGCACCGACCTGCATGCAATCATGGGCATGGGGGGATTCGGCGATGATGTCAACGACCTCAGGCGTTGGTCGTGGGCTGCGCAAAACAGTTAATTCTCCTGTAGCTCTATTATTTGAGTCCACACCGAACTCACTTCAAGCTCATACTCTCAGCGCCGACCGCCAACCCAAGGGAGGCCTCTCCAGATTGTATGGCATGTGCAATGTTTCGAACGGCCATCAATCCAGAAGAACACAACCTGTTGACGACGGAGATTGGCACGTCATACGGGATACCCGCAGCAATTGCGGCTGCTCTCGAGAGGTACAGCGGGGACGGTGGATGGCAGGTTCCTGTATAACCACTAGATCTTCAACACTCGGGCTCGCTGGACCGACGCAAGAGACTGACCGACACAAATGTCATCGACCTTAGTTGGGTCCAGCTTTGTCTTCTCGAGGGTAGCCTGCAAGCACACATGAGCACTGGTGTAAGATCCGAGAGCGCCACTCCCACCTTGAACAGAGCATGCATGATCTCGTCGACAGGGACATCCTTGAACTGACCTTTCTTCGCCCTCCCTACCGCGGTACGTTTAGCAAAGGTTATAACCACATCGTCAGGTCTCTTCTCCAGAACAGAAGCAAGGCCCTGCGGCCGCTTCGACGTGCTCGCTGCACGCGCCAGCGACGGGTACACAACACGCTTGAGAGATAATCGCGAAGTAAGCAGCATTGGGAAAGGAGATGAGGGGGAAGAGAGAAAGCTAGAAGAGGCAAAAGAAAGACACGGCAGGAGTAATATATTTTCCTAGCGTGCCCATGGTTGTTCACATGAGAAAAGGAAGGTGACCAGTAGGAGCGAGGGTCGCGGACGCGGTACCGGCACCATCACTTTGGTTCCGGCGCGAGCATTGGAAAAGCAACCCATTAGTTTTTACGCGATAAACTACAGTTTCTCTCGTCTACTCTCTCGTGGTGCCTCGCTGCTGCGCTAACAACCCTTCTAGCATTGAGGAAGGCGGCAGGGGAGATGGGATTGAAGGAGAATGTCGAAGTTGAGGGGTGATGAGTAACACCTCTGAACAGCCCGGATGGCGACATCGAACGGCTTTGAGGCTTCTCTAGCAGGTACCTTAAGATGAGGAATATAGGATCAATGGGGCTTCACAAATTCGTCGAAAACATACCAAGGATACTCCAGGAAGCCTATGTTATCATGATAGATCGGGTATTCCTCCGGCAGCTTCTCTAGCCTTCGCTTTCCACTGACGGTTCACTGAGCTGTAGCAATTGGGACAGATATGGTGCGCGAGCTTGACACCTCCACAACCCGCACAATTCGTGATGTCTGTAAATGAGAGAAGTGAGCTATGCAGTTGCAAGGTGTAAGCTCAATTACAGACTTCGTTTATCTTTCAATCCCTTGTTTGCGCTTCTCATAGCCTTGCGGGAATGTGATGTTTTTGATTTGGGAACCGCAAGAAGGAATGGTGGAAAGAGGTCGAGCAAGGATTGCAACGAAGGGAGCGACCATGATGTCCTCGGCAGACTGAGAGCAGCCGCAGCGAGCACAGGTGACACCCAGCTCTTGAATAGCGAGAAACGGGCGACAGGTAGCAAGGAGTGCGTATGTCGGAGGGTGAGCGCGGAGACCATGACGGTGCAAGTGAGAGAGACGAGAAATCAGAAATTGACACTCCGATTGGACGCGTCGGACTGTCCCACAATTCCAACGCTCCCCCAACCACCATGTTGCGCTTCACCCGCCCTCTGCGCCACCTCCTCAAGACCACCACCGGTATCCATGGTCTCCCAGTTCATCCCAATCCTCTCCCAGAGCTCCTCAAAACATACGAGTCAACACTCTCTGCACTGTCATCCATCCCGCAAACATCCGTTTACCGACAAGGCGTCGAGGCTCTCGTTCGGCACAAAATCAACATCGTGAAAGGAGCGAATGGAGACATTGCCGCAGCGGAAAAACAGCTAAACGAGGGCCAAATCGAGGAATCACTGGACATTGCTGCAGACGAGCTGTCTCTAGCTGCGAAGATTGTAGAATGGAAGGCGTAAGTCAGGTCCGTTATCTAGTTTTCAACGTGTGGCTTACATCTATCCTTCAGTTGGGAACCTTTGGAAGAGAAACCGGAGCCAGGTCAATGGGAGTATACAGGACAGACCACCTCCGCTTCATCATGACTTTGCCAACTGTAATCTATTCTTTGCATTCTGTCAACACGCTGTAGACCATCAACTTGGACGGTGATAACAAATGCAATTGAGGCAGAATGACTGAATGTTTATGATTGAAAAAGATGTGATTGCGGTTCAAAAATTCGCTGGAAGCAGGATTTGAACCTACGCGGTGAAACACCAAGTGATAAGTTTGAAAGTTCAAATCACTCGCCTTAACGACTCGGCCATTCCAGCCACTGTAAGAGAACAAATTTGAGCAGCCAGATTCATAGGAGTTTAGAAAGTTCTCTTGCCGAAGCGAGGGACTGATTAATTATCAATTGTCTTCTCTCTGCACCATCATTCTCCTGCTCGCTGCCTAGAGCAGCTTCCGATTCTCAGCCATGGACTCTTTAATTCCTTTCACAACGTCAGGCTCCCTGGTGGATTGTGTGGACAGTACGTCTGCCCAAAGTCATCGCGCTTCTCCAGTTCCGTCCTGAGCATACCGTCTTCCTGCCTGCCCACACTCAAATCCTCGCCACTTTCTCGCTTGGGTATGCTCTGCTCGCCTAGGAAAGATGCTTGTGATCCTGCGAGATGGGAGGAAGCTGCATGGCGTCCTTCGCTCATATGATCAGTTTGGTGAGGTCTCGTCATTGCTTCCCAGTGCTTACTCCCCAACTCATGGGTATCTGGTGTCCACGCAGCCAACCTCGTGCTTGAGGACACGGTCGAACGAATATACCACGGGAACGAATTCGCAGAGGCGTGGCATGGCATCTTTCTCATCCGCGGAGAGAACGTGGTGCTGCTCGGCGAAATTGTCCGTCCTCACCCCTTCACTCGTCACCCTTCCCTTGGCTGATTCGACCTCGTTTATCAGGATCTTGACCGGGAAGATGATGTTCCTCTTGTGCAGGTTGAATACGAGAGCATTGAAGAGAGACATAGGATCGAGGCAGCTGTGAAAAAGGAGCATGAAGAGGCCAAATCCCAGATTCTGTATGAGCAGAAAGGTTTCTGCAAGGAAGGCGGAGAGGGCGATGGGTACTGAAGCTGGTGTGCCCTTTCGCTCCCGTCTTTCCTCATGATAATAACGGGACTCCGTGGTCGTCTCGCCGATATTGGCCATTACTTGAGGGTTATCTTAGATTAGATTCCCAAATCCTGCCTACGTCGATGCTACGATTTCTGTAAGATATACCAGCCATTAAGTACACGTAGGATTTTATAAGTGTCGTTGGATAACGCGGTGCGAGACGAAGAGGATGGTAGCTACTAGATGCAAGAAGTATCAAGACAAAGATAAAAAAACCCATGCAATTGTGTTCGACGAAAAGTCATAATGCGTCGCAAAACCCACAAGAATGAACTGGAAGAATAACAAGATGCAGGAGACCACGTATTGTACATGTAGAAATACATGTCTGTCATGATCATAATCATATCATCATGGAATCATGGAGTCCGTCGAGAAACATGATGGACCAGTCATGCACTAGGTGCCTTTCGTTTCTTGCCCTTCTTTTCTGCTACCACCGCCGTAGACTTGGACTTGGTGTGTCCATTAACGACTTTGGTGTTGGCAGTTTTAAGAGGGTTGGAGGTTGTCTCCTTGGTCGTCGTTGAGGTGGAAGTACTCTTGCCCTGCGGGTCGAGCATGTCTTCGATGCGTTTCCGGATTTCGCGCTCGCGTGTCGTGAGTTTGGCAAGCGCCTCTTCCTTCTTCTCCTTCTCCTTACAAACGTCCTTGTGGCGAACTGTCTGCCAGCTAGAGAAGACCAGTCAATGATGACATCCTGTTGCAACGAGAAAATTGAACGTACCCGGCATGACGCTCGCAGACCTTCTGCCCAGGACACCACCACTGCTCCTCCGTGCCATCCACCTCCATGTCTCCCTCGCCATTCTCCTCCTTCGTGCGCTCGTTCTTCATCTCTTCGTAACTCTCAAACACAGCAGCACCTACATCCACCCATTCGTCGTCGTCGAAGCAAAGCCGTTGGTCCCAGCCGCACTGACCGACGTTGACCGCTCGTTCCGTTGCAAGCTGCAGGAGACGCTCGCGCCACACGATGACTTCCATGCCGCGCTTGACCTCCTCTCTAAGCCGGACGACAGACTCGAGAAGGCCATTAAGCCTTTCCCTCTCGCGCTCGGCTTTGGATTTTGAAGGCGGCACGATCCGATGCTTGGCGGGCTTGACATCCGTCTCCTGCTTGACATCGGCCTCCATCTTCGTGCATCCGTTTGTCTCTGGCTCGGCGGCGCAAACGACCACGCCCTCGCGTTTCTCTGCATGCTTGACGCTCTCCCATAGCTTCTCTGTCTTGCCGCCTTTCTTTGCCCAGGAGTCTATGCGAGACTGCATATATTTTATCCCGCATTCATCTGAGCAATACTTCGAAAAGGCGCCTCGAGCAGCTTTGTGGCATGCTTTGGGAGACGAAGGGTCTGGGTGTCGGAGACCGTACAAGCATCGTTGCTTGTACGTTGTCCGAAGGTTGAGATGCGAATTTTCTGTCAACAAGTCAGCAACCGCAGTATCAAACAGGGAAGCATAGGCGTACTCTCAATACACGGTGGACAAATAAACTGATCAACCAGATCGACCTCTAAATCTGGCATATTGACGCACTGAGTATGATACCAGTCATCGCAACTTCGAAAAGAATATCAAGAATCAGAACAATAGGTCAATGAACATCGAAACAAACCGGCTTACCGGTCGCAGGCGATCATGAACCGATCCTCGTCATACTTGGTTTTGCAGACGCAGTACAACTTGTCGTCGTCGTCCGCCGCGTCGGAATCCTCCTCTTCCTCCTGCTTCTCCGCCTTGACGGCTTCATTCTCCGGGCCAACCGACGTACTTCCTCCAGGCATGACGGACGTCGACCGCGATCGCGAAGTGGACTGGGCATTTTTCCTACCGCCTGGAGCTTTTGTGGCCCTGGGAGGTGGTGTGGCTACACCGGCGACCGATGTGGTGTCTGTACCAGCAGTTTTCTTATTTTTCGCGGCTGGCTTCGCCTTCGATTTGATGGCGGTGGAGGCTCCAGCGGGAGGTGCAGGTGTAGTAGATGTAGAGGCAGGAGTGGTAGAGGCGGCTTTTGCTTTTGAAGCCTTCAGACGGGTCAGTTTGGTCCTCTCAGTTGAGATATAGAGACACGCACCTTTGCCGCTGTCTCCTTTTTCTTCTTCGTCCCAGAGGCGGACGGAACGACGCTGCCTGCCCTCTCAGTAGCCTTCTTGGATGCCCCGACGGTGGTGGCTGGAGGTGGCATTGAGCCCCTGTCTGGGGTGGGACGCGCCGATGACTGGCGCACGACCACGGTGGAAGGTAGCGTCGCGCCCAATGACGCGGACATTGTAGGGGAAGAAGAATGAGAGGCGTCACCGACGGATCGGAGCGGAGGCGGCGCTGGTTGCTTCATGTTGGTGTTGGCAACGCCATGTGGGGCCGAACCTAAACCCAAGCCAGACCCGTGCGAACCAGACGCAGGGCCCGACAGCCTGCGCGCCGAACTCGATGATGGTGGCGGGCGATCATCAACGAGGCTCAGGAGCTCATCCTCGACATCCACTTCCATGCCCACATGTTTCTCATCGTCGTTCTCCAACGTCCCTACCAGCTCCTCTACAACCAAATCGAGGTCCATATCGTCCGGCTCCTGCTTTTTGACCATGATATTCGAGGTCGCTGATGTTGCGCTGGGAACGGATGTCGGGATGGTGTCTGAAACAAGATCCTCCAGCTCTTGCTCCAGGGCCACTGCGGCAGTGATAGGAGTAAGTACTTTGTGTGTGGTAACGGGGCTCTTGAGTGCATAGGCCGGAGCCGCGGGTGCGACGGGACTGACAGACGGAGAAGGGGTATGGGGCGGCTCCGGACGGGATGATGTAGTCGGTGAAGGTTCTTCATCATATTGGTGCAAAAACCATTCGTGGGCATCGTCTGGTTGGACTTTGGCAGGAGGAGGTTGGACCTTGGGCGGTGGCGAAGCGGGTTCTTTGACAGGTTTCTTTGGTGGCCACGGTTCTTCGTTTGGTGGTTGGGTATCGTCTGAAGTGGTTCGTGAGCGTGACGGTTTCGGCTCCTGCATGACCTTAGGTTTCTTTGCATCCAATTCGATGGCAGGGTGGATAGGCTCCTTTGGTGGTGGAGGTGGCTCTCGTGACATGTGTTCATCGGACTTGCGGGCAGCTTTAGCTCGACCGATCTGGCTACCGGGGGGTGAACGGCGTCCCAAAGGACTGACCAAATGATGAACATCGCGGCCGCGCGAGTCGGGACGTGTTGGTACAGGAGCGCGCTCCTTGTCCGCAAGAAGGTCGGAAACAGCGACGGCTTTCCTTCCCTGGCCATGCCCGGACCCTGGGCGCCGTGGGGCTGAAGAAGGGCCAGCGACGACGGGAGAATCAACCCTGCCATAACCTAACTCGCCGACAAACATCTTTTCCCTTTCGCGTGCAATGTGCTCCTTATCATCCGGAATAGGCCGAGTTGGGGATTCGGAGTAGCGACGCTTCTTGATAGGGCGGGAATCATCATGGGGCGGAGGTGGAATTGAAATAGGAGGAGGATCTGGGGAGATCGGACTGGTGGAATGCGTTATCTGAGGGAGATCGGGGCTGCGGTGGGGTGGGTGTGATATGAGCTGGGAAATGGAGACAGGGTGTGAGCTGGGGGCGGTGGACGGCGAACCATGGGGATTGTTGGGACGATGACCAAGGACCTCCTGCTGGAGGAGCTGCTGACGACGCCGGAGTTCCTGTTGGCGTTCAAATTCCCGCTGCTGGCGTTCCGTAGCCTCCCGTTGTTGGCGGTCATGAAGCTCCCGCTGCTGGCGTTCGAACAGCTCCCGCTGGCGATCCAGCTCCCTCTGACGCTCAGTCTCCTTTGCACGCTCGATTTGGCGCTGCTCCTCGCGTTGGAGTTCAAGGAGACGTTGGCGTTCGGCTTCGCGGCGGAGCTCCTCACGTTCCCGCTGACGTTGTTGTTCTTCGCGAAGCCGCTGTTGGTACTCGCGCTGCTGCTGCTGCTGGCGTTCTGCTTGGACACGCTCGGCCTCTCTGCGCTGCTGGAGCTCGAACTGCTCAAGTGCCCGCTGGCGCTCCTCTTCGCGGAGACGGCGTTCCTCCTGTATGCGGAGGCGTTCGAGTTCCTGCTGGCGTTGAAACTCGTGCTGCTCCTCGAGTCTCCGGTGGAGATCTGCATCCTCTGCGCGGCGGCGACGGTCTGCCTCGTAGGCGCGGTGCTCGAGCTCCTGTGCGCGGTGATGTTGTATGCGCTGCTGGTGGAGGTCCTGGTGGGGGAGGACGGGGTGTTGGCGCTGGAGGTAGGTGCTGGTGAGCTGGTCTGGATACGGGGGGCGCGCTAGGACGGGGCTGCGGGCGATGTGCTGGCCGTCAACAAAGGGGCGCTCCGGAGGTGAGCGGTGGGGATACGGGGAGTGGTGGGGGAATGGGGGGTGGGGCTCATCGAGGCGGCGGCGCTCCTCTGTTGCGGCGTGGACAAGGGCCTCGAGGGGGGAGAAGGCGGGGGGCTGTGGGTCGTCGCACAGGAGGGAGGAGATGTCGAGGCGACGGGAGGCCATCGAGTTGGACGGTGGAGAGAGCACTCAGCAGACAAGCATCACATGTTGTGGTACGGTACGGCTGACTAAGCTATGTGACATATGTACAACGAGACATTGCGGCAAAACCCATGCGCCAGCCACGAAGGGCGAGCAGCGAGCGCACCGCACCCAAGTCCCATCTCTCGCTCTCCAGCCAGTGTACGGTCCCTCGGTCCTCGACCCACACCAGTCCTTGCGGCGGGCGGGTCCTCAGAAAGATGCTTTTGAACCGGCTGCACACCGTCAGCATCGCGATCCACCGGAAGACGCACGGGGAACTCACCTGTGAATTTGCGTTAGAGAGACGGGTCCCGGCCGCGGCTTATATACCGTTTTGCAACTGTACAGTACCAAAAGCCCCCCGGCAACCGGTTCCGGGGTCCCCCGTGCGAAAAAAGTTCCTCGAGCCCTTGTCGCCCTTGCCCGCGCCATCCTCAAAGCCACAAAAGAGCACTACTGACCGCACATCAACCGGCCCCGTCAACAATGTCGGTGGCCACAAAAAACCCCTTCGCCCTCCTCGATGGTACGTCCCCGTCCCCGATCCCCAGATATCGCGATCTCATCCCAGCACAGAGGAGTCTTTCTCCCCGCCCGCTGTGCCCACCGAGGTAGCTCCCGCGCCCGCACCTGCTGCCACCCGTGGCGCACAGAAGACCCGCGGCGGCCCAGCGTCTCGCGGCGGAAAGTACTACGCTCGTGGTGGCAAGCCTCAGACAAAGGACTCTTCCCCTGCTGAGGATCCTGCTGCTGAGAGTCAGAGGAAGGGTCCGTCTCCCCCTTTTCCTCAATTCATTCATCTTCCTAACCCACCCTATTGCAGTTGAAGGCGCCCGTGAGGGTGGTCGCGGCAGAGGTCGCGGTCGTGGAGGTGCAGGTCGCGGCGGCAGGGGTCGTCCTTTCGACAGGCATAGTCAGACCGGAAAAACGTACACACCTTTTCTTTATCCTCTCCATACGCCCTAATACTCCTTTTTAGCGACTCTGACAAGAAGATCCACCAATCTTGGGGTGGCGACGACGGCAATACTGAGTTCAAGGCTGAACAGGCTGCCACTGTTGATGCCGCAGCTGAGGTCACCGGCAACGAGTGGGGCGCCGACACATCTGCCGCAGCTGACTGGGGTGCTCCTGCTGCTGATGCTTCCGCTGACGCCTGGGGTGCTCCCCCAGCTGCTGACGCCGCTCCTGCTGAAGCCGACAAGCCCGAGAGCCGCCCTCGTAGGGAGAGGGAGCCGGAGGAGGAGGACAACACCCTAACCTTCGATCAATACCTCGCCCAACAGAAGGAAAAGGAATCCGTTATTCCCAAGCTCGAAGGTCCCCGCAAGGCCAACGATGGCGCTGAAGAGATCTGGAAAGACGCCGTTCCTCTCACTAAGAACGAGGAAGAGGATGCCTACTTCGTCGGCAAGGTAACTTCCACTTTTACTCTTCTCTACTTGGACACCCGTTTATTCTTAACTTTTCTAGACGAAGGCTGCCCCCAAGGCTCGTGCAAAGAAGGAGGAGAAGGTCTTCCTCGAGATCGACGCCCGCTTTGAGCGCCCAGACCGCGGTGGTCGCGGACGCGGCCGTGGAGGAGATCGCGCTCGTGGTGCTGGACGCGGTGGACGCGGTGGACCCCGTGGTGGACGCCAGAACGGTGCTGCTGCTGTTGTCAACGTTGACGACCAGTCCGCCTTCCCCTCGCTCTCCTAATTGACAACGCCAAGCCATCGGCGACGGATGGACTGCAATGTGTGAAAAAGAAAAGATCCTTTTTTTTGGTAGTTTTTTTATGAGATCATCCTTGAGAGCTCTGTACTATCTCATTTCATTCCTGTGGTCACAGCCCTACTGTCCCATCTCGCTCTCTGGCGCATATAATCTCATCTCTCCCTTCTCTCTCTCCCTCTCTTACTCCATTCTCTGTATTTCTGTCTTGCTTTTTCTCATCGATATCGTTCTCGCTGCTATGATCGTCATGAATGAAACCCACGACAGTGCAGAAATACACATACACTTTATCATCCCCGTCTGCTCCGCACGCCCCGTTTCGCGAAATGAAATCAACGCCTACCCCACGTGTGCCCAATTCAAATAACTTCTCTGGATTTCTCCTTCCGCACTCCTTCTTTCCTCTCCGCTATATCCTAGGCTGGCAACTGACGTGACGATGACCGAAAAGATCTATATTGCTCGGCATGGTTTGTCCATTTTTTTTTCATTCTCAAGAACACTGCATAGCATGAACTCATTCACTGCGTAGGCTTCAGACTGAATTGGATCAGTACGACATGGTGAGCGACACGCCTCTCCCTCGTGTGCCGCTCTTCATTCCCCTCGTTCTAGGCAAAGTGCGACTGGTCTTCCTCGAGACCCCCCTTTGACTGCCTACGGCGAGGTGAATCCATATCCAAACTTGGGCTTTTCTCCCATGGCTTAGGCGCCGTTGTGATTCTTCCTTCTTGAACTACAACCATGCGGATTCCAGACCCAGGCGGAGGAGCTCAACCAGTACTTCCTCTCGTTCCCTGAAGACGAGCGACCAACAGCCATATTCTCGTCCCCGTATTGTCAGTCGTGTGCTCCTACGAGGCAGATATCGCGATGGGGCTGACTTCCTCATCCGAACCTTCCGTCCCGAAAACCGTACAGACAGGTGTCTGCAGACTTCACGTCCGTTGGCCAAAGCACTAGGAGTCCCCATCTATGTCGAGCACGGTGCGTCTTCCTTCCCTCTTACTCCCACCTACGCTCTTTTGCTTACCCCACCCTAACCCACCCCAGGTGTTGTCGAATGGTACTCTCCTGTCGCACCGGGTACCGGCCTGCACCCGCGTCCCGGTTCCACCGAGTCCCTGAAGACATTCTTCTCCGAGATCGACCCGAGCTGGAGCACCCTCTACTACCCCTCGCGCAAGGGCGAGACCGTGAAGGAGGTGCACGACCGCGTCGATGAATTCCTCGTGTCGTTCTTCGCGGCGATCGCCCAGCGCCTCCCGTTAGAGCGCCGCCGCCGGCTCCTGTTCGTCACGCACGCGGCGACGACCATCGCGCTCGTGCGCAGCTTCGTGGGCGATCGGGAGCTGCATATGAAGGTGGGATGCTGCTCGATCTCGGAGCTGGATAGACATACGGATGGCGTTAGAGAGGGACAAGTCCTCGGTGCGTTCAAGGCGATCGCGCTGGCTAGTGGGGAGCATCTTAAAGGCGGTTCCTCCAGAGAGTGGGGTTTCGAGGATATAGAGGTAGAGAAAGGAAGGGTAGGCTCGCCGTGTTTTATTGCCGTCTGAGCAGGACTAACTGTCGATACTACAGGTTGTAGAAGACCCAGGAGTACCGGGTTCAGAGGGAGAAAAGGATGAGCCCGTCGGCCTCCAACTAGACAATCATCTCACAAGCAACCTTTGACTCTTGTACAGTCTAGGCGATATTCACGACCGGTACATCCTAGATTCCGCCTCCTACTTATGCCTACATGATTCACATGCACACGATGGATATCTCTAGACTTATGGTACATTGTTTCTGATTGTAGACTAATTTAGTTCTAGATCTTAGAATCGAATGTACGCACTGGCGTAGCTAACGCTCGAGTCTCTAATGCTGTGGCATTGGCTACTCTGCTCATAGCGAACCCATTTGAGAGTTGGCTTAATGTTCTTCTCCTGCTCCAGCTTGGATAACGCGCCAAACAGGACGCCGATGGGATGTCTACCACAAATAGTGTTCTTGGTCCTTGCGAGATAGTCGGCGAAACGAGAGTGCGCATCAGCAGCAGTTGCGGGTGGTACGGTGAGGATGTCCATCGCTTCATGATCTAGTCGAGTGATGGACTGATAAATTGGGTAGTATGACGGCGACGGTTCGACGGTTCGAGAAAGACGTATCCCAGCTGCCCCGCTAGGAGCCGGTTCTGGATAGTAAAATGTATACGAAAACCTTGTACCCCTGGGATACATCAATTAGGACACTCAAGAGGGAGTCTACAAACGGCGTGCTCACCAATGACAAAAGTCACTCGAAATGACGAAGAAAGTGTCCTCTCTAGCAAGATATGTCGAGAGTATTTCCCCAAAGAATGCCTCTCTTTCCTTTGAAAGTGACCCGACTACGATAGGGACTATGCGGATATCCTGCCTACAGGCACCCATGAATTCACTGAATACAACTCGTGTCCTGAAGTACTCACCCTTCAAAAACCTTACGAACGTAGGGTATGTGCATCTCTATGCTATGCTCGTCTTCGTCAGCTTGCAAACCCATGGATTCGAATTTCCCGGTCGCCTTGAGTTCCTTAATAGCTGCAAGGGCCGTCAACACAGCACGACGATCCAGGTTTCCATACTAACTGTCCAGATCCAGTGGAAGTTCGCCAATGGGCGTCTCATACATCTTGCATTTCGATAACGCGCATCCTTCCAGGTAGAAGTGGTGTGAAGGGCCGAGGATGAAGACGCGTTTGCTAAATAGGGGCTACTTATCAGATCAAGCTCGAAGACGTCATGATGGACGATACGAACATTCCTGTGGTATCGATGCTCTGATAGGCCCAGGCGGCAGCAGGACCGGAATAAGAGTATCCTGCATGCCTACACCCATCCGTGAGCACTTCAGGAGAATGGTGGTAAGGCTGGCGGAACTGACGGTGCTATAACGGCCTTGCATCCTTTGATAGGATATGGCTCCTCCGCTTCGTTGCCGGCTTTCTGCAGCCACTGGCCAAGCTCTTTACCCAACGTCTTTCCTTCAGTGATGTCAATAGACGATTTGTCGCGAGGACTGTCCTGTTATCACCATCGTCAGTGTACCAAGAACCAGCATGCGAGGCAGATCGAGTGCTCCTAGATGAACTTGAAATCAGATCAGCATTTTGAGTGAAAGCATCACATAACTCGCATTCTGGAGGGCGGATGTGCGACTGCAGGGCGGATGGAAGGGTAGTGGACGGAGTTCAAGAGCAAACGACTGGTCAATACTGATCAGGATGTATTCGGGCAAGAGCCGATAGCTCTGGGAGATAATATTAGCAAACACTTTTTTATCTAGATCTTCAATCTGAGCATAAAACAAAATGCACGGAGGAAGCGTTCGCAGCGGTCATGGATTGCATGTGCATAAACAGCATACGTGATACTACATGTGTGGAGGATGCTGAAGTAAGAATGAAAGAGTCTACTCCTCTGACCGCAGACGGCCCTGGGGGTTTGTGACTTTGATGCCCAAAGCCTTCGCACTGTAAAGTATTAGGCAAGTTTAAGCGAAGAAAGGGCCTAGGGACATACCGCTCCAGGATTACGGTGCGGTTCCGGCTGCTGATGTTGTGAGCGATCTCGGCAGCGAAGGTTTTGTTGTGCATAAGGAGGAGATCAACGTCCCGAACGTTGCTCACGAGGAACTTCTTGAGGCCGTTGGGAAGGAGATGACGTGTCTGGAGGTCCAGATGTCAGTAAGACGAAGGGGGCAGAGCTGCTAAATTATGCTAACCTTTTTGTTGCTTCCATAACCAATCTATGCAGCCGAAGTCTTGAACATTATATGGTCGGAGATAGAGGTAAGGAACGCACCTTGGGCATAGGTGTTTGGCCCTTGAAGCGACGCCTGACCCTGTTATCGATACCCTTGGGCTTCCTCCATGCCTCCTTCACGCCGTGGTAGCGGTCAGACTGATGGCGCCTGTAGAATCATTAGAACAGAAGGCCGGGCGGGTTGTGAAGTAGTGACGCACTTAAATTTGGTAGTGCGCTTTTTGACGATCTTGATGGCCATGTCCTGAGAGGAGAGGTGTTGTCAGGGAGGTTTACAAACTGGGAGAGTCACCGAGTCCACGACGTTATCCCGTTCAGCAAAGGTCCATCCAGCCTTAAACACCAATTCCAACGGTCCTCATCGACGCCAGGGCTTCGTAGATCATTCGTTCGTGGACATTGCGGCGAAAATAGACGGCAGGGAGGGCATACTCACGACTTGGGGGGCTTGAGGTGGACTGCGTTGACGATGGCCAACCTTGGAAAGTTAGCACAAGAGTTGATCACGTAATCAATGCTAACCCCCCTAACACCGCATATTCGTCAGAAAATCAATTTGATGTATGTATTCTCAGCCGCCTTGCGAACTGCGATGACGACTGGGTGGCATCCTGAAATTAAGCGCGGTCCACGAGGGGTAGTTTAAGCTACAGATGTGAATCCGGGCATGGAGGAGGCCCAGGGCAGAGCCTCGAGAATGAGCACGGGGTCCTGTGTAACTTGGAAAACATGTCCCAGGCTGGAGATAATGACGTTCAGCTGGACGCCAACTAAGACGCCAGCATTTTTATTAACGCCGCACTCGTCACTCAGCTATCCGCAACGCTGAGGCTGCCACATCTCTTATTACGCAATATATGCTTTCTGCTCCTCCTGTCGCCCTTGCCTTTGACGATGACGACTGGATCACCCCGCCACATGTTCCCCGCCTCTACAGGACCGCGAGCGTCGGCAGTTGGGGCGTAACTTCGATTGGGCGTGGATTCGACTGGGACCAGGAGCCAGATCTAGCAAAGGTGCAGGAATCACCAACCCCGCCGGCGCAGGAAGAGAGGGAGGAGGAGAAAAGGCCAGAGACAGCCGACCCACCTGCCACACATGGACGCAAACACCCGCACTCATTCCTAGACAAATCCCCCGTTATCTCACCGAAGCTTTACATGCCTTCTCCACCACCCCATGATCCACCCCAACTCGCATGTCGCCCCACTACGCCCTTAATCCAACCTCTTGCCCGGTCACCATCATCGCCGCGGCCTCGCAGGAGGTCGTCCCAACAACGGGTCTCTCTAGTTGCCGGCCGTGTCTTGATCACACCCATCGATCCCCCGTCCCCGCCCCCTATGCTCTCGGATAGCCTCAAACGCACTCCGAGTTCCGTCAGCATCCTCAGTTCCGCTGAAAGCACCAGGGCACCCACGCCATCGACAGACCCACAGTCCTTCCTCGGAGGTCGGAACATATCAGAATTCGTGATCGAAGGCGAAATCGGGCGAGGAGCCTATGGCCTCGTCAAACGAGCGCGCGAGAAACTTCCAGGCGGTGGACTAGGCGTAAGTCAAGCCCTATCTGTTCATTGTAGAAGATGGTTTACAGGTCGTACTATTAGCCTCCTTTGGTGATCAAGCAGGTTATAAAGTCCCGCATTCTCGCGGATTGCTGGAAAAAGCACCCCAAGCATGGCACTATCCCCATCGAAATCTACGTCATGTCTGCCATTTCTAATACCTCTTATGTGCTTCCCCCTCGCCGGCCTTGGGACCCCTCTCGTTTCTCTAGATCGTCCGCCAATCAAGACGGCGCCTCGCCCTTAGACTCGACAGGAGACGACTGGATAGAGGGCAAGGTCGTTAAAGGACACCCCAACATTTGCCCCCTTCTCGACTTTTTTGAAGACAACCATTATTATTATCTGGTGCTTCCCTCGACGACACCAGAACAGCTACCTAATGAACCTGCACCGCCTTCAGACTTGTTCGACTTGGTCGAGACGTATCCACAAGGGTTACCTCCATCCATGATTCGCACATACTTGGGACAGATCGCAGATGCATCCTGTTTCTTGCATTCACATGGAATCGGTGAGTTGTCGACCTTCGTCAATCGTTCGTTTGAAATTTCTGATAACTTTGGATAGTCCACCGAGACATCAAGGATGAGAATGTTGTACTTGGACGGGGCGGCCGGTGTATATTGATAGATTTTGGAAGCTCTGGCCTCGTGAAGAAGAGCGGATGGGATACATTTAGTGGAACGTAGGTGACCACGCTCTCCTCGCACGACCTTTACTTACACTCAAGCCTTCCCTTAGACTCGACTATGCCGGGCCTGAAATTCTTCGCGGGGAACGATACTGGGAAGGAGCAAGATGTGTGGGCGTTCGGGGTGGTTGCCTACGTGCTCCTTGTCGGAGAATGCCCGTTCATGACCGCGGCGGAGGCACAGGAAGGATTCGAGTCGCCGTTTGCAAATGCATCGATATCATTGGATGAGCGATGTGCGGAAGGCAAAGAAAGGGACGGGGAGGAAGCAGATGGTGGCGGAGCGCTTGGGGATGCAGCATCACTAGTGCGGGCGTGTCTTCGGCTGGATGTAGCTGCACGGCCGACGTTTGAGCGTATCATGCAATGTCGATTCCTGGCCGGGGATGGAGGTTGGACATAGTCATTAGATGTAATAGTGTACATTATCGATTCTGTTATCTATTGACTGTACAAGTATCGATTAGACGGATCCGAGCACGTGTCCGCCAGAGGCGCCCCCGAGTCATCGATTACATGATCAGATCAGATCTATCGATAAAATTTTTTGGTCTGAGATAGTATAACTAGCACAAACATCCAGACTGGTCCTTCGTCAACCCTCCTTTTTCCTCAACCACCACTTTA